TCAATCTTTTTTATGAAAATATATAATTTACTTGAAAGATGGCATATGCTTATAAAAAGATAGGGAAATTGATGACTGAGTAATGATGCTATGCATCAGATAATGGCAAATGAATGCTAAAAACGTTTAGCTGAGTGCATATCTTTCTAAATCATCTTTAAATTATCATGGAAAGTAAATCTGACTCGGGCTTTTTATTATGAAGTAATGTGACATGACCAGAGATTTTGATAATTAGGTCTTAAAGACCAGAGTCTCTTTTTGTATATATTTTGTATCTCTGTGAAAGAAACTTGTGTAATTTTAGAAGTTTTAGGATTGGAAGCGCATATTTGGTTGTAGAATGGGGAGATTTTATTATGCAAGTCAATGTTTTCACAATAAAATTGGTATTAATCAATTTTTGTGGAAAATTTTAGTACAATCATGACTTGCACAATATATTATTGTCAAAGTTTCAGTTTGCAATATCAATCCTCATAAAAATAACTTATTTTACTGGTGCCATGTTTTATTATGTAAACAAAGTGGAACAAGTCTATTACCATTTTTAAAAAAAAAAAAAAAAAAATTCTCTGTCCGTCATACACATTCTGCATGTGACTTTTCATGCACATATGTTTGTGTATTTCTGTTCCGTATGAGTTTAGAGGTAAGCAACATCCTACAATCTGAAATATGTTTTGGCTTTAAGTAACCCACAGTGTTGATTAACCATTAAAAAAACATATTAATCAACTAGTTTAAAAACATGTTCCTGCAGAGAGCTCCTGATTGGGCCATCATCACGATAGGGAAGAGTAGATATGATAGACAACAATAAACTACAGAAGAATGCAAAATTGATCAATACAGTTAAGTATTGCATTAATATTTAACTTTACTTTTTAAAAGTTCAAAGATAATTCTTCTGCCACCACTTAATTTAAAAACAATTTGATGTAGGTAGGTCTTTACTTTCTGTACAAACAATTTTTATTTCATGGGTGACTTTTGCTGGATTTCACAATTTTGATTATTCCCAAATTTATTTCCAAGTTGTAAAAATTATCATACAAAAAAATTTGCAAAAAAATCATGTTAAAAAAAAAAATTGCCAAAAATCTTGGGAATCCAAAATTTCAAGATTGTGGGTCTGAATCCAAAGTCTGGAATGTTTTTAATTTGCTAATGGAGTTGGCCTGATTCCAAAATGGTATATGTTGTGCTATAGCCCCTAGGAATAAAGTTTAAAAAAAGTGTGATACTGACATTCACATTTGTTATATAGATTAATGTTGTGCATGTGTGACTTAGATGTGCCTGTACTATTTAAAACACACACACATTTTGATTGAGTTTGGAATAAAACCTGGTAATAATCCACTCAATCTGGGCAAAGTACCTTGGGCTGAGCAATATAAATGAAAAATTTGACAACTTAATGTTTATCAAACTGTCTCTTTGTTTACATGTATGTAATGACTATGGAATGAATGAAAATAATCAGTTTTTCTTTCTCTTACCTACAATGAGAAAAATCTTACTCTGATGTCTTTTCACAATTTCCAAAGTTGCATTCCAATCTCACCAACTGTATCTTGTTTTGCTTTTGAGGTTATAACTTCCTTATGATCCATGGTAATCTTTTATATAGCTGAAATTTAAAAAAAAAAATTTTTTTTTCTTTAACCAAACTTTTATGGACATTTTGCAGCTGTGCATTTTGTATTTTAAGAATTGTAAATTAATTATCTTCTTCCAATCATGTCATATGCACAACTTTTCTTCCATAGTACTTTACTTTTGGAGTCATTTGTGGAGATTTATCCTTGTCAGCCTGTTGCCTTTTATGTTGAACACTTGTTGCAAATAACCCATTTTTCACTGCCTGTTATGATAGATTTAAAGAACGGTTAAATTAGCCTGATACATTTGTTATTACAATTGATTATGACTCTACTTCATGTAAGCATATCCTAAAAAATTTCACCAACTTTGGTTAATACTAATTTTATGAAAACATTGGCTTGTATCATTAAAATGACTGTTATGGTATAACCTATTATCAATTATTGGAAATTTGAATGTTTTCCTTCTATCTCAGTTGTATACTAAGTAAACATTGTACCATTGTTTAAAAGATAAAAATCTCCCATGAAAAATGCTTATGTAACAGTTTGTTATACCAACTTTTGCTCTCAACCTTTCAGAATATAGGTCATGAGCAAATCCAGACTTGATCTTAATTCATAAAATTTCATCACAAACTTTTTCTTCTCTCTTGTATGGCATTCCCCCCTCCCCTCCACTCTTTTCTTCCTGGATTAGAAGAAAGATTTACTATGTAAGTAAAAGTAAGTTTTCAAACTTTTTTTGAGGATTAAACATGATTTTGCAAAGTAATCTTCCCACTAATCTTGGAGTGGTCTCACTTCTCTTTTGATAAAAATGATTTCACTGCAAAGAATGTGACCATTTTGATTCTCACTACATTCTACTTGGTCTCAGTTTAAACTATCTTGAGATGCTGCTATTTTTAAAATTCTTGTATATATTTTAAAATATCAGGAGGTCAATTAAAATAGGCAACCATGGTTTTGACCAATGCTTTTAAAATTTTAAAGATTTAAAAAAAATATCGCCCAAAGAGATAGTCAGGTTGTAACCATGGTCGTGTATTTTAATTGACCTCCTGATTTTTAAAGTTAAGTCTCTATATGTTATTTTTACTTTTTTTTTTTTTTTTTTTTTTTTTTTCCCCCCCTCTCACATGTATTGAGCACTTTTTAATACTTTAATACCACTGTTTCCTGGTCCGATTCAACTCTGACCATTAAACTTTTGTATTTTTTATTTATATATATATATATATATATATATATATATATATATTTATATAAATATAGGTAATCCATATATATATATATAGACCTGAGGAGGATGATATCCAGAGAGCTCAATGATGATATTCAGAGCAGATATGTTTGAATAAAAGACAGACCACGTTAAGATTCCATGTAATAAGCTATTTCACCATAACCCCTTTAACAGGGTTCTGGATCATCAGACTTTACTTCCAAAAGCTAAAATGAAAAGAAATTCACACGTTTTTTACAGACCTCATCAAGTATACATAAAGTTAACGAAGTGAGGAAGTGAGGTGGGAGAGAGGATATGAGTGTGTCATATGTATCATTTTAGTTTCCTATTTTAACCCCAGTGTGTCTGCTAGATGTTGCTCAAATTTAACGCGTCTCATCTCTAGATATAGATGGCTAAGGGGTGAATGATAAGAACGACATTAAAGGAAGAAGTTACAACAACCCCAATAAATTACACGACAGGTTTCATTCAAATTCTTAGACGCTGTCAGTTCAAAGCATTTAACGTGCATATTTGGGAGGTTAAGGTTTGATAAATATCTAAATGTTAAAACAATCTACTTAAGAAATTAATTTGAAATTCGGTGGAGTTTTGGGTATTTTCTATGAAACAATCGATTGGAAAAATCCATAGACAGAACATTGAAAGAGCAATCCATTTTATATTTAGTAATTTTTTTTTTTTTTTTTTTTTTTTTCCGCTAAAACTTTTATCTTATAGCTTGTTAGGTTGACATCTATTTGTTTGATTTTTGTTTATTAAGTAAACTTGTGATTGTTTTTGATTTTTGTTCATTATGTAAACTCGTGATTGTTTTTATGTACCCAATTATCAACAGTTATTCCCATTTAAATAATTTTATTCTCCACACTGGGGTAGTATCTTTCAATCTCAATTAAAATACCAATCTAAACTTTCCCTTTGTGCTATTTAAAATTCACTTCCAATTGGAGAATATTAGAGGAGATATTTGGAAGAGATATCACTAGCAGAAAATTAGGTCCTTCTTTTACAATTTTTTATCTACACATGTCTTAACCCCTATTTGTAACCACATACCTATATCTTATATGCCTATGAGTTCCTGTATACACCTACACACACATTCACACGAAACGACCATATGTATATTTCCATCTTTACACATATACACCTGCAGAGAAAACGCACATCCACGTCTCCATACCTATCTCCATATATACATATACACACAAGGACATCTGCATATCCATATATATTCATACACACCTATATGTATACACATATACACATACATACACATATACATACACACATACATGCATACGCAATATGCAGCATATCTACATACCCACATATGTGTTTAATTTGCACTTACATATATCTACACGCGTATTTGTCCCTATCCTCATGTCCACCTGTGCATCCACTTATGCCTGCGTTCGAAGACTATCTCAGTATTTAATTACATTATCTATATCTTTACACATAATATTACCCGATCTTTCATATTTATGGCAAAACATATAAGTACCTATCTAATTGTGCATCTCCACACTCACAAAAAAAAACCAAAAAAAACCTGGTATGCTTCTTTTTCCGTATAAAAACATATACATGTCCATATCAACAGGTGTCTCAGTGTACAAATACATTATCATAGTTGTATACATATAGTCATGTGTTAGCATTCACGTGTGCATAGTAATATTTCTAAAAACAAAGGGAATATAAAACATTCAAAATTGCTGTTCCTATATGATTATTTCTCAATGTACTTGTTTAGGTTGTTTTTGTGCCGGCATTTAAAAACTAGTTATAGTTATTAACTAGTTAAAATATATATATATATTCTCTCTCTCTCTCTCTCTCTAATAAACTCACACACACACACACACACACAAATGTACATGTGAGTGTTCACTGCCGTTTTCTTTGAAGCTGCCGGCTAATAATTTCTGTCTGAATTTTGGGAATGAGAAGTTAGCTGCCTAATAAATTTTCTTTGTGTCTATCTTAGGCAGTTTTTTTTTTTTTTTTTAATGGTGTCCTGGATTAGAACCTTTTGTTAATACACTTAATTGTGTGGCACAAAAATATCTTTGTTCTGACTGAGCATCTCTCCCTTTCCAGGGACATTTAATTGGGAAGATTACATGAAAGAAACAGGATCACAAGCAGCACCTCCTTCATGCTTTAAACAGGTGAGTAAAAGTAAATTTCATAAAAATGAAATACTTAATACCTTGTGTGTGTGTATATATATAAAAAACCTCTTATATGTATTGTGCATTGCCAGTGCTAGAAAGATTTCTTACTTTGATTTGCAATCAGTGTTCTAGCAGGATAAGGGAGTTCTCTTTTTATTGGGACTTTTTAAAAAGGGTAGCTTAAAATCAAATTTTGAGATAAAAAATTTGTCACCATTGCAAAAATAAAAATAATAATATTTAAGAGAGCGGAAATTTTAATGAGTTTAAAAAAAAATTCTCTAAATATAAGTTGGTGGATTGCTTGCAGAAGAATATGAATCTATCAAATTCAATCAGATATACACCTATCAAGAAAAAGTATTGTAAGGCTGAAGACAAAAAACTTGGCATTTTTATATTCCTTCACAATATATACTCTTTAAATGTGAAAAAAAAAAAAGTTGATTAACTTATATATATATATATATATATATATATATATGCACAGCATCATTGAACAGACTTCAGGCTCACTCAGCTGATATCACCAAAGCTTTATCTTTTGGTAACCCAAAAAGTTCTTGTCTTTTTTTTTTTTTTTTTTTTTTTTTTTGTTTTGGAGCACCTAGTGAGGATGGTCCTCACTTTTCAGTATAGATGTGGGAAAATATGATCACTGATACACAAATGAGTGTGTTGTGTGCCAGGAAAGCAATTGGGTTTGGGATTGCTCTTGACCAATGCAGGTGTATTGTGCGCACACGAGTCCTAGCTTGACCAGCAGTGAGGGAACCTAGTAATGTCGAAGCAGCTTGTTTGGGGTTGTCTGTTTTATGACTTTAAGGTGGGCTTGTCTGCAGCTGCACTAAGTTGCCAAAATATGTCAAGCCTTTGGGGATGGTGCTGTGAGTGAACACACCAACAGTCATTGGTTCCAGATGTTCAGGTCTGGAGATCTCTCTTTGTGGTTAACGTCACAGTGGCTGGCCCTGAAGGCAGCCATAGAAGACAAAAGTAAAACCTGTGATAAGCTTGCTGAAGGCTTGCAGATCTCTGATGAAATAATCAGACTTTGTGCTGCAAATTTATAATCTGTTAGAATTACAATTCAATATCATTATGTTACTGAAGTTGGCTGGAAATGCACACTGAAGGAATTTAACTTGTTTTCTTGTTTTGTTTTTGCCGTTTTCTGATCCAGTCCAGTTTGCCACCAACGAATGAATTTAAAAATGGGATGAAAATTGAAGCCTGTGATCCTCGTAATTTGACTTCTATCAGTATTGCCACCGTAGTTGGCATGCAGGGACCACGATTACGTTTGCGGCTTGATGGCAGTGACAACAAGAATGATTTCTGGCGGCTGGTTGATTCCTCAGACTTGCATCCAGTTGGTTACTGTGAAAGAATTGGAGAGTTGCTTCATCCTCCTCTAGGTAAGTATATTTTTTAACAAAAATTGGGAGTTTTTTTTTTTGTGTGTGTGTAATTATATATATATATATATATATATATATATATGAGAGAGACTGCTGATCTGATGAAATGGTCTTCAAATGCACTTGCTGACTTTTTTGTTACAAATTATACTTGAACCCTTGTCATGACAGGAGGGCTTATGGCTACATCCCCATGTTTACGCCCATATGTTGAAACACCAGTCCATGTATGATCAATGAAATTAAGCAAGCTAATCAGTACCTAGATGGGTAACTGTTTGGGAGTACCTGGTGCTGTAAGCTTGGATATGCAGGTGGTGTAATGGATAATGGCTTCAAATTGTTAATTAAAGAGCAGAGTTCCAATTCCAGTTTGATTCATTATATTCACTTACAAGCAAATACCCATGGAAAAGGTATGAATCCACATATTCTACCTCCCAACTATGGGTTAATTAGTAAAACTAGAATAACTAAATCATTATCTCCAAAACTCAAATCAAATTGTGTACAAAATATTTGGATTTCAACATTAAATAACCCAGAGAGGTTGATATGCTGCTAAGCAACAGCAAACAAAAACATTGTCATGACAGGAGACATTAGAAGAAGAGTAAGAGGGAATTAAAGGAATTTATTTTATCAAAATTCATTTTCATAATAATAACAAAAAATTCTCTTCATTTCTTATGCCAGTGGTACTAATTTGAAGAGCTTGGGTTTTATGCTTAATAAGTTTAATCAATTTTTTCTTTTCTTACAGGCTTTAGGATGAATGCATCTTCCTGGCCAATTTTTTTACAGAAAACTTTGAATGGAGCTGAAATAGCCCCTGAGAAATGTTTTAAAATGGTAAGCTATTAATTCCTTAATATATTTTGTACATCTTGCAAAGAGCAAAAAAATTCCATATTTATTTTGACAAAATTTTTCACTTCAAAGTTCAAATGATGTCAAATCAAAGCTTTCTTTTGTTTATGGATGAATCCATTTCACAGAAATTAAATGAAATTGTAAATTTTTTTTTTATTTTTAAAAAATTATACCTTCTGCTGCAATCCATTAGCTTCATATTAAAGCGTAAGATGCTTAGTTTATCATATAAAATGATTTTATATATTATTTTGGCTTACAGCCATATCACGTTTAAACATTGGTTCTCATACAGTTACTAAAGTTCAGCAATGTCAAACCTGTTCAATATTTAGACAGGTAACCACTTGGGAATACCAGGTGTTGTAAACTTAGATGTGCAAGTGGTATAATGCATAACAGCTTGGAATTGGAAATCTAAGAGCTGAGTTCCAATTCCAGATGAGATCATTATATTCACTTACTCACAAATACCCTTGGGAAAGACATGAATCCACTGTTTCTCTCCCATCTATGGGTTAATTAGTAGGATTTGTATCGGTAAATCATTATCTCCAAAGAATTCTTACAATCAAATATTTTCTGGCTTTTAAACAGTCTCTTAGTATAAGGCTTATCTTGTTTTGACAATTGAACTCTTCCATTGCAGCCTTGATATATTTCAGCTATAGTTGAAATGTGATATCAAGAATACAACAAAAGAGGTCATCTGTCTAAATAAAACCTGAAAGATTAATGACACACTTTGAACAATAATGATTGCTCATTAACTGCAGATGACAGGAATTTCTGTCATTTGCAGTTTTATGACTCAATACGGTAAACAGAGATATTCTTGCCAAACTTAATTCCATTAAAAATTCCTGCTCCTTTCCTCCATTTTCAGGATGTGCAGGTGGCATAATGGATAACCATTCAGAATGAGAAATTAGAGAGCACAGTTCAAATTCCAGTTGGGTTTATTACATTCACTTACCTGTAAATATCCTTTGGGAAAAGTATGAGTCCATCTCCTCCCTCAGCTATGGGTTAAATCATCAAACTTGTATCTATAAAAATCAGTGTTATCTCTAAAATATTATTAATGCAAATATTCACTTGCAAAAAATAATTCTTACAATTCAAAATATGCTTCAGGTTAAATAAGCACAGAAAGGGTTGATAAGCCATAAAAAAACTATCAATTCTTCCCTTTTTAATGTAATTAATGCTTGCACTGCCTGACCCATTAAACATTGTAACCTTTGATATGCTAAATATTTATATTTCCCTCTTTTCTGTTGAAATAGTCTTTCTCTTTTCTCTCTCCTCTCTCTCTCTTTTCATAGGAGCCACCTTCGCCACATTCAAATGATTTTAAAGTGGGCATGAAACTGGAGGCTGTTGATCGAAAGAATCCACAGTTGATATGTCCTGCTACGGTGGGTGCAGTAAGTAATGATCAAATCTACATCACCTTTGATGGCTGGAGAGGCGCTTTTGATTATTGGTGTCGATTTGATTCCCGTGATATCTTCCCCGTGGGGTGGTGTGCAAAGAGTGGACACCCTCTACAGCCACCAGGACAAAAAGGTAACTTTCATTTTTATTCTTTAAATGGTTCCACTTTATTGTTGTCATTGCTGTTGTTACAAAAGTCAAAATGATTATTATTGCTTTCTTTGGTTTTTAAGTGTTGCATGGTTTTATGGCAGTGTTTCTCTCACAAATGCGACCATTTTTCTTTTTTTTTTTCTTCTATTATTATTCTATTGTTAAGGCTTGTGTTATGATCACTTTGTCATTTTTATATATATATATATATATATATATATAATGGTTGGCTGGAAAGTTCATAGGCTGACCAAGATATAAATGTAAGTACACACTCGTTGGTAGACTAAAAGACATGCAAAAATATCAGAATACAACCGCTGATATTCTTGCATGTCTTTTAGAATATAGAGAAAATTTGTATTCTGGTATACTTGCAGTCTACTAACTGGTGTGCCTACTTATATATATATATATATATATATATATCTTGGTCAGCCTATGAACTTGCAAGCTGACCTCATACCACAAAGAAAGAAGGAAAAAAGAAAAAAATACCTCCAGGGACCTCAGAGCAAGTTTTATTCAGACTGTAACAGTTTCTGAAAACAATGCTGAATTTGTTTATCCCTAGCAAACATCCAGTTCTTTTTGGAAAAAGACAGGAACTCATTTGGTATAAAGCCTCCAAGACTTAATTTTTGAATAGTCTTCATTCCAAAATTTCAAAGTCTTTTCTCTTAATTACACATTTCCTTCCAGATTTATTCTGAAAGCAACACTAAAAGTTGTATGAAACTTTAGTTTTCTGATTTCCATGAAACTGTACAAAACTAAAAAAAAACAACAAAAAACAAAATCATTCCCCATGCAAAGAGATTAGAAACAGCCAGAGTTTTTTTTTTTTTTCTGTCTGAGAGTTTTAAAATGCTTTATGTAGCAAAATCTATGGATCCCTATAAGAATTTACTCAGAATTATTATAAGCATTTATGACTTTCTTATATACTACACATCTTGGAAGATAATCTTAGCACTGTGAGTATCTGTTGTATCTGTTTTTTTTTTTTTGTTTTGTTTTGTTTTTTTTCTCTCTTGTGTTATTATTTTTAACAACTACGTAAAAGTAGTTTTTGTATTTGTATTGTAAGTTAATCTTATTCTAAATAACTTTAGAGACTAATATCATAAATTTCTTCAGAATGAGGTGAAAGCCATGAACATCTAAAATAAGTGAAACTATTATTTAATAATGCTACAGATCTATTAAAACCAACACATATCACACACTGACGTTAACACAGTTGTGGCAGTTTGCTTCTGACTGACAATTGTATTCATCCATGAAACAGATTGTCACCACTTGACCTCAGTGTCCACTTTTATATTCATATTCATTTTTCTATCCCTGATATTGAGCACTTTTACTCATAAATATCACTTACCTTAAAACTATTTTTATCTCACTCACACACATATAGTGAGTATGTAAAAATCCAGATATAAATTAATATATCTGTAAAAAGACAATATGAAAGTTAGTAATCAAGTTTATGTATACTTTTAATTCTGTAGCTATTTTTTTTTTTCTTTTTCTGTAATGTTTGATACCAATTCATTAATACTGGTCATAATTTTTTTTTTCTTAATGAGTTTGTTGTAATAAGCATATACAAAACTGAAAATGTGTGTATGTGTGTGTTAAAAGCTGCCGCAAATAAGTGGAATACACAAATCTAAACTTGGAAATGGATTTGTATTTATGGGATCTTCTTTCATAATCCTCCCTATCCAAATAATATTTTTGGTTATACCAGAACAGTTTCTATCCATTCAGTGGGTGAATGCATTGAAAGAAAAATAAGGGAGAGGAATATTCATTTGCTCATGAGTCTGAAAGTACTTTGGATAGAGTGTTTTCTGTTACATAGTCATAACTAATGGTGAGACATTTTTACCAGTAATGAATAAGTCAGGCTCATATAAATGTGGCTTTCACACATCTTGCCATTGCCATGACTGAAATGCATTACTCACTGCCTGTGTTCACATCTATTGGTCTCTGTAAACATTCAGCAAGTGTTGAATATCAGTGGATGCAATTTTTCCCCACCTGAAGAAATTCAGTGATACCTGCTCAGCTGACAGCTGTAACAAGGCTAAAAACATAATAATGAGTTGGTAGGAAAGTTCATCTACTGCCATACCCCCAACATCTGCTTAACATTTTGGGTCAGTATAACAAATAAGAGGCATTACTTTTGGAGAGACTGTTCTGCTTTTAGTTTGTGCATATTATTTGAATAATTCTCCAAACTTTTTATGATGTCTGTTTCTGAAATTTTTATATTATTACACACTAAAATGTTGTAACTGTCTGTTCAGAGATAAATAACTTGATGTCTTTCTTTTTTCTTCTTAGTTTGTTAGCACTCTTTTTATTTATTTTTTTTGTGTGTGTGTTTTATTTTATAAATATTATTTATTATGTTATGACAGCATCAACCAATTTTTTATTTTGATTGATTTAATCTTAATTGGGGGCCCTACTCTTGCCCTCTATTCTTTTGTCACCAGCCAATTTATTATTGTTGGTAGTTTACGCCCCCCCCCAAACAGTACACATACACAAAGAAATGCTCAAACACACATCATGCCAAAATCATAATCACTTAATTCAGTGAAATGAAAGGGGGCGGATAGACATTGCCTTGACTCTGTTGGAGCACTTGAATATCAAATGTGCTTATTATTATCATCTAGTCTGAGAAAGGATCTAACACTACGAAAGTTTTCAAAATGTGTTTTCATCATATCAAGTTTTCTCCTCTTAGACCAACTCTGTTTGCATTTGCAAAAGTTTTTTTTGTTTTCTTTGTTTATAGATTTTGTTATGCAGCTTTCATTCAAGTCACTGAAGAAATTAGTGGAAAATATTATTTATAATTTTAGAAAGGCTGAAAAAAAGATTTGTTCAATTTTTATCTAAGTTTTGAATCCGACATCCATTTCAATAAATTTTTTTTCATATATATTTTAAGTATATAAAATTGCCCATTCTATGAAATTATATTTAAAAATGACACATTAATTTGCCATTAATGTATTGGCAAAGTTTAACCTTTGAACCTACAAAAAAAAAAAAAAATGCTGTGTTGAAAGGACTTTTTTTCTTTTGACACCACGATTACTTTATACTCTCTCCATGTTTATGGTTTTAAAAAGCTATATTTAGAAGTGTAATAACATGTTAAACACTACTTAATTATTAGATTGTTTTACAAGATTATAAGAATATGTGAACAGACTACAATGCAATATTTATCATTTAACTTTTTTATAAAAGAATAAATATGAAAATTTAAGTAAACACACATAGCAACAAGTAGCTGTACTTAAAAAAGAAATCTTTTTAAAAAACATGCATTTTCCAGGCATTTCTTTCATCTGTGCTTGTTACATAAATTCACTAAAATAGGTTGAAACATTTTAATTTTAGATTTTATTGCCTAAAATCTGACCACTAAAAAAAAAAAAATGGCCACACTCAATATTTTAAAAGTGTACCTCCCTATTTATTGGTTGGATAAGGTTTTCTGTAATTTTTACTGGGTATTGTATTGATTAAGCATCCTTGACCCTAAATCACCATTATAAAAAAAAAAAAAACCCAAAAAACAGGAAAATTAAAACAAGTAATCTGAGTTACAAAATAATCTGAAAAGAGAATGTATAATGTCTGGAAAAATCGTGTTTATTTAAATTTTCTTGTTCTATAGTTCACACATTTTTGGATAAAGATTTTTCATATTTCTTTATAAAATGCTAAATAATAAATATTGCATTGTAGTTGGTGCACATAGAATTAAACTTGTAAATAAACAATCTAACAACTAAATATTTAACATTTTTATTAATAAATTCAAAACATTCTAAAGGAGTATACAGTGTCAGAAGAAAACAATCCTCCTTTTTAATACAATTTTTTTTTTTTTTTTTTTTTTTTTCCCTTGTAGGTCCAAAGGTTAAATTTTGCCAATGTTTTGATATTATTTTAGAAGTATGTACATATTGTCCTATTATGTTACTTTTATTGCTGTAGAAAACGCAATTTATCTCCCTTGATTTAAAAAAAAAATAAATTGCTAGCAGTTTTGATAAACAATTTACATGTATAAAACCTTAAACTAAAACAATCAATTCTTGTTTCCTAAAATGTACTGAAATTAAAAAAAAAAAAAACACTACAAAATCTTAGTGAATGTATATACCATAATAACCTAGTTAATAAATTTATGCATCATATTTTAGAATTTCTGTTTTTAATTGACAGCTTAGGCTCAGTGTAACACAAAGAAAAATATAATACTTAATCACACTTATTAATATAGCATCCATTAAAAAAGGAATGTCTTTTTTTTTTTTTTTTTTTTACTTTTGTATTATTGCATTGTAGTTTTTTTTTTTTCTCATTATTGAATCTGAAACTAAAATTTAAACATTGAATAAAAATTTTTTTATGTTTTCATTTAGATAACTGCCTAACTTGAATTTTTTTTTCATGTAATAAGGGAAATATATATTTATTGCATTCATAAATATTTTGATAATGCTTAATGAATTTGAGGTATTAGTGGACATACATAACATTGTATTTGGTATTTGTTTAGACTTTTCAAATGTTTAAGGCATGTTGTGAGCATGATGCATTTGAGTGTAGATTGCATGGAGAATTGGGCTGCCAACAACAACAATAATTATTTGCTTGTATTTGCATTTATCTTTATCTTTAAATTTCATTCCGTCAATTAGTTATTGTAGCTGGACAGGAAATAAGACTTATGACCCAGAGTAAATGCTAATATTGAGAATATAAACTTTTACAGGAATATAAAGTCTGTTTTTAAATAAATAAAAAAATAAAAAAAAATGTAAATAAACAAATAAATGGAAACAATTAATCTGCAAATATCAGACATGCTTTTTATCAAAACTAGTTTATTTCCTCAACATCATATTAAGATTTAAAAATTCCCTCTTTGTCTGTATCTATGAAAGTTGTGTATTTATTTATTTTTTTTTTTTTCTGTGTGTGTAGTTTGACTGTTTATCCCACCACCACCACCAAAAAAAAAAAAAAATTTTTTTTTTAAATTTATTTTTCAGCTAGCACACCAGTGCAATGCAAATATCACCCTCTTTACCTGTAGAACAAACTAACCCTGCACCTAATATTTAGTTTGGCAATGGTGGTTGACCTTTGATTCTCACTTCCATTACCCCGCTATTTCCTTTTTTTTTTTTTTCTTTTTTTTTATCTTTCCTCGTTTTGCTTTTTTGCAAATGAATAATCTGCATTTTAAAATTTCATTAAATTTATCACAGCCTAAATGTTTTCTTCTTTGAACTTTAATTTTGAGTCCTCTTGCTTTTTATTAAACCCCTTGCTCAGTGATGCTAGAGAGATAGACTCTACCTGTAAAGAGAGATTTTAATGTTTTGTTTGCAGCATATTACCATATGTTGACTTATATTTTCATTTCATTAAATGAAGAGAAACAAAATCTTATTTCCTTTCCCCTTCATATCATTTCATTTCACCTGTATGCGTTTTTTTTTTTTTTTTTTTTAATTTGCTTTCTTTGGTTAGGATCAAATATTGATGTCATTTATTCTCAGTTAAACACTTTTCTACTATGATAGTTGAAATCTTTATTCTAACAATGACATCTTCAAGTTGGCATTTCTAGTGACATTTAAGGATTTCATGTTCATAATATATACCTTTTTGTTAAATAGTCCATCATTTTTAGTGACGTCCTAATTTTTAGGGTTCTTTTTTCTTTTTTTTTTTTTTTTTTTTTTTTTCTAGTCATTAAATTAAGTACACCTGTTATTTTATTTGCTAATTTATTGGTTGGTAGGATTTTGCCAACATTTCCTTTTAACTGGCAACATCCTTTTCAAATTTTCCAGTTTGTTTTGGCTTTCTGGTTTTTTTTTTCTCATTCCTCTTTAAAGAATATTGTCATTTTATTTATTTACTTTTTTTTTATTTAATTTTTTTCTTTATATCTTGTATACTTGCATGTTACATTCTCATGCATCATACAACTTCATTCTTATCCTAAAATTTACATGTCTGGAGTTTTATTTTTGTTTGTTTTAGCTATAAGTTAGTCAACATGTGTATGTTCCTGTGCACACATACGCACAACAAACTATCACTCACATACACCTTGATTTTAATTTTGTTTTTATTTTTAGTAATTTGTTATAGTTAGTTATAAATTGATTAGTTAAAAGGAAGGGAGAGAAAATTTTTAATCAAGAAAAGACTTTCTTTCCTCTTGAAATTTGCTTGTTGACTTATTGAGTGACAATTTTTGAATTTTGGTTTTTGATTCTTTTAAAATTAATGTTTTATTGCAATTTGTATTTTGATCTGAAAACAGTTTTTATATATATATTATTTTTTTTTTTTTTTTTTTTTTTTTTTAAATGGTGTGATACTAATTGAATCTTTTGTAACATGTAAGATGTGAAATTTTGATATTCATATAGACATAGTAAATTTTTTTTTTTTTTTTTTTTTTTTTTTTTCAAATAATTACCATAAACTTTAGAATTTAAAAAATAATTTATCCTAGGAATTTTATTTTAAGATATATCACTAAAATAAAGGCAATTTCAGTGTTGATTTTATTCTTTTTGTTACATATATCCTCCTAAATTTTTTAATTTTGGATTTAATTTTTTTTTATTTATTTATATATATATATATATATAACTATTTTAGTAGGAGTTTCTTTAAATTTTCTATCTAGCTGTCTATTAAGATGTTTAGATAAGATCAAATGGATCGCTGTCTCTGTAATAGTTTACAGCGATGGTTTGCTCCGTATTTCATTTAATAATAGTAATGATATTAAAAAGAAAGCTAAAATATAATTAAAAAAAAAAAGTCATTTTGCGGCCCTTTAATGTGAAATCCCATGTGTGGACGTAAAGCTTAGTCATGTGCCGAGTTGCTGACCCTGGTTGATCATTTCTGACTCGTAGGCACGTCGCAGTACAAACTGAACAAGGTGATAAAGCACCGACCCATGGTGCTGAACCTGCCTGCTCCTGGGGCTCCGTCATCCAGTCAAGTGACCACCCATGGTCAGACCAGCACCACCCCAGCCACAAGCCCAGGGGGTGGGGGGCAGTCGCGCTCCTCTCTCGCCAGCCCCTCCAGCCCTGACCGACAGCTCTCCCCACGAGAGGCCCATTCCCCGGTAGTCATGATTACAGAACCTGATACAAGTTCCACACTTAACAGCACCACAGGTCAGTAAACTCTCTTCAGTTCTAAGCACCTGTTGCTACTGTTGACACATTTTTGGACTACGAACTATTCCATATTCCAGTCAAAATAACTCCTTTTTCCTTCATCCTCCTCTAACCATTTTCACACCACTGCAAAATCAGCACCACTATCATCATCATCATCATCATTAGCTCTGTCAGCAATATATATATATATATATATATATATATATATATATATATATTTTCTTCTGCCCACTTCTTACTTTTGCCTCTTCCTAAATAAAATTATATTTTTATTTCATCATTAATTTCCTAATCTATTGTTTTAATATTTTTTGTTTTTTTTTTTATATATATATATATATATATATATATATATATATATATATATATATATATATATATATTTATTTACACATACAAAAATATTCAACAGTCCATTTTGATAATATCAAAGGATATGACTAAGTTTTCCTCTTCGAATCCAAAATTTGGTCTGCTTGCTTAGTGTAGTAATTAAATGGTATCATGCTGTAACTAAAACACTAACAACATTTGGAACAGTAGCCATCTGCTCATAACTTGCTTAACAAAATACAAAAAACAACCTCTCTTGTGCATCTCCTCCTGCTTTTTTTTTTTTTTTTTTTTTTCCTAATGTATGCCTGATCCCTTATATATAGAAAATAAACAACCACACTAAATTAAGATATATAACACCCTACAATGTCTCAAATTGTTTTGTCTACCAGAACCAAACGTACACTTGCTTTTGCTTCTGTTAAAATGAGCATGTTTTTTTGGTTTTTTTTTTTTTTTTTTTTTACAGATACATACACATGCACACACAATAATTTGCTTCTGTTTAATGTTTATTTTTGTTTTGTTTTGTTGCATAGTTTTTAGTATTGCTATGGCACATTTGTATATACATGTATTACATATATCTATAAATAAAATATCTTTATTAGATTCAATGTAAAAGTCTTTTTTTTTTTTTTTTTTTTTTTTTTAAAGTTTTATTCTCAATATCTGTATCAATATATTTTAATTTGTCATTGTATGTTTTATGTGCATGTTTTAAGAGAAAAAAAATCGATTGTTTTTTTTTAAATATCTTTGGCAGTGTGTGTCTACATCAACCGTTGTTGTAACCCTGGCAGTTATTTGAATCCTCGCAAGGTCCAACAGTTACCTCTTCATTATGGTCCCGGTACTTTACAAAGAGTCCTTCGAGAGGTGGCACAAGGATGCATAGAATGTGGCAATCATGAACAGACAGTCTTCAACTTATTAAAAGATGGAAGCAGCAAAGTCATTGTCACAGGTACACGCCTATGTCAGTATTCCCGTCTTTCACTTAATACTCTCTCATTTTTTTCCTCTTTGTATTCACTGAGCCAGCTTCATAAAATGTCATCTCTTATAAATAGGCTAAACCTTCAGGTGCGGGTGAACTGGATCAGTCTTCAGAAAGTGAATATTCAATAAAACTGAAATGGAACAAGTTCATGTCAAACAAAACTTTCAGGAATTGGTTCTTTTTAAAATTCACTTTCTTTTCCATATTGAATCCATCATTTTATGGCATTTATGGATTTTTATTATAAATAGAAAGAAAAAAAAATCTTTATTGAGAGTACTCTAGATTTTCATTGGTTTCTAATTTATTGAAAACCTTATTTATTTAAAAAAAATTTTAAATTTGATTTTTTTATTTTTTTTTTTTTATTTTTTTTTTTTTTTTTTAACAAAAATAAAATACTATTGATATGAAAATTTAAAATAATTTACTTTTGATAATTATCCAATTCACCCCAACCAGACAATATCAATTCATGTTTTTTTGTTTGTTTTTTTTGTTTTTTTTTTTTTTTGTTTTTGTTTTTTTTCCATAAATTTCATAATTTTATTGAAACAAAATATTTTGTCCTGATTATCAAAAACCTTGATTGCTTTTCATTTCACAAAACCATTGCACTTGATCATTAGATTCATTTACATTTGAGAAAGATATGAATTCATCTCCTCCTTCCAGGTGTTGGTTAAATAGTAGGACTGGGAATATCATTCTCAAAAAAAAAAAAGCAAATGTTAATACATGCAATATTCACTTTAAAAAAAAAAACAAAAAAAAAACTGATTTATTCTTACAATCACCCAAAATGTTTCTGCTTTTAAATAATTCCCCCCCAAATGAATCAATCCCTCAGAAATAGGAACTGATTTATATATATATATATATATAATATACACATACATACAAACACACAGTGATAGGAATACCTCCCACAATGGTATGACATTAGGTAGATGAAGACATATTGTCATTAATGTTGTCAGTTATGTTGGAGTGAAATAAATAACATCTGGCTAAATCAAAAATTAACTTATTAATTTGACTGTTTAAGAAAATGAAAAAAAAAAAATCACGATAGTAACTCAAACAAGTTTGCCCGCTAAAAATAATCCTTATAGTATTAAGAAATAATCTCAGATTAAGGAATTTATTATATATGAATGAAAAGTGTTTCTTAGAGGACAAAACACATCAGCTAATAGTTTTCCTCCTTTTTTTTTTTTTTTTTCCTTTACACTCTCTGAAAATAATTTACACACACGTAGTCAAATGCAGTGTGGAACTTTATCCAATTTCAAAAATAATTGTCTGTCCCTATTGATTTAAAACTTCGAATATTTTTAGATTTGATAAATTTGAAATATTATTTTTACCTTTTTTATAAACTTTAGGTAAGTAAATTTTCAGTTATTGTAAAACCAATATTTTTACCCTGATAATAATTTCAATAGGCATATGATTACTCTTATTTTACTAAAAGCCTCTAAGAAATAGTTTCTTTTTATACTTGCTGCTTCATGATAGTAAATAGTAAAGAAAACTCCAATTGTCTTAGGAGCTAAACATGTTTCATGTTTCTGTTGCAACTCCTCCAATCAAATCAATATAACACTTCTGATTAAATTGATTTCCAAATAATGAAAAGATAGTCCCTCACCAGATGTGTGGATGGTGCAATGGACAGTGGCTCAGAAGAGCAGTTTTAATTCCATGTGGGTTCATAATTCACTTGCATGCAAATACCCTAGGAAAAGTTATGAATCCATCTCTTCTGCCCCCATTTATGGGTTAAATAGTAGGACTTGGTATTCTCAAAAATATTTACAATTCAAAAAATGTTTTAGCTTTAAATGACCCATAGGAGTTGGTAAGCCACTAAAAAAAATAAATTAGTCTATCAACAATCAACCCCCCCCACCACCACCACCACTACTTATAATTGTGAAGTGTTTAGGTTGTCTTTATAAAAAAATATAAACAACTGTTTAGTCCTGAAATTTCTTTCTCACTTTCTAAATGAATTTTAGAAGCTTTTGCAATATGAAACCATTCAAAAACTTCTTTTTTTTTAAATGCCAAAATGTTAGTTTATCTTTGTGTACAGGTTGAGAATCATTTTACTAAAAGAATTTAAGACTTTTAAAAACATTCCCTCTCTATAGTAAACAGTACACTTGACTCAACTCTTGAAATGAGAAACCTGTCAGAATGTTTGCATGTACATTTAATCATGATTTCATACAAACTAAGTATATTTGCACTATGACTTCTTGAAAATTTGGCCAGAAATATTTACTATATATATATATATATATATATATATATATATATATATATATATATATATACTTTGTATTTTCTTAAACAGAAATTATCAAAAGACCAGTATGAAATCAATATTGCTTAGTCATACTGAAAAGATAGTTCTAAATTTCTACTAATCTTTTGTGATCTTATAATACATTCCCACATCTTATCTATCAGTCAATTTCAACCAATAAAAATAATCCTTGCAGAAAAGAACATACTGAATAATACAATACAGCCAAAAACTAAAGAAAAAAAAATCAGTTATATAAATCTCCTTTTTAGAAATTTATTACAAATGTAATTGTTAGGATTGGGGGGGGGGGTCTACAATCTCTTATCTGAAATTCTGAAAATTTTTTATCCTAGAATTTGTTTTTCTGGCCAAGGCTTATTTGCATAGTTGTAAATGAAATCAACTGCAATATTATTTATGTTCTTAATTTACTGAACTTAGTGTAAGTACGGGGATCCTCAATTAGTACGGCTATGTATATTGGTAATTATAAAAAAAAAAAAACTCAATTTTTAATTACTGTGGTTAGACTAAAGAATGTTATACCACACTAATCAAGTATTATGTATGCACTAATTGAATTTTGGTATATAAAAATTTTAGCACACTAATCCAAAATGCATTAATCAAGACATTCCTGTATTTACAAAGATTCACTTCATTTTCTTTCTAAACATCAACTTAATTGTTTGCCCTCTATATTATATTTGTACTACTTTACTGAAATCCTGAAAAATTCAGACACATGTCTAGTCTCAAGGATTTCTTCAGACAAGACGTTGTGTACCTCTTATTTGTTTACCATTTAACTTAAAAATAACACATTTTAAAATTTATTAGAATATCTGGTTATCAAATGATCCGTATTCTTCAGGCATCAGTTCATATTGATGCCTTTTTGTTTTTTCCATATATTGTGACTAAGAAAAAAATTCATATTCTCAAAGGTAGAATTTTAAAAAAATAGCTTAAAATTAGACTTCTTAGAAGCAGGCAGTGGGAATCAATTGGTAAAACCTTCCTGGTATTTTTTTTTTTTTTTTTTTTTTTTTTTGGTTGTACAGGTGGTGTAATGGATAGGAACTCAAATTAAAAAATCTGAGAGCCAAGTTAGAAGAATTCCACTAGAGTTGCTTACATTCATTTATGCACAAAATACTGTTGGGGAAAGGTATGAATCGGTCTCCATCTACCCCCTGATATGGATTAAATAGGGTTTGTATAAAGTCTTATTCTATAAAAAAAAAAAAAAAAACTTGTTAATGCAATATTCACTTACAAAAAAAAAGTTAAAATCCGAAAAGGACCTCTGAAGGGTTGATTAGCTGTATAACAAGAAGAAAAGAAAAAAAAGAAAAATAAAGGTCTCCATTTTCTACTTAGAGATAACTCATGTTTATGTCTGTTAATAAGGCAGATAACTCGTGAGCTTATACGTCTCTCCCTCCCCCTCCCCCTCAAACCATTTTCATTATTTGCTACATCAATTCTCAGTCTCATAGCTAATTTTATCATTTCTAAATCTATCATGGCGGAACCTTCATCAGCTGCTTCAAAACTTGGGTAAAAACTTGTGAAAAATGACTGCCACTCACAATAGGAGGCCATCAAAATTTTGTGGACGCCTTTTTTTTTTTTTTTTACATGAACTGTTTTCTGGTTTTATTTGGACAAATATTGGCACAATTCTTTATACAAATTTGAATTTGAATGATGTCTGACAGTATCTCTTTTATATATTTGTTAGGATTCTTTTACTAAAATCATTTTTGGCATCTTACAAAAACCTGGAAAAAATAACGTTTGTCACAAATTATTAAACAGCAGTTTTAAATAATGTCTAAAATTGTAGACTTTTTTTTTTTTTTTTTTAATGCTTTGATTTTTCACTGTTTAATTTTGATTGATGTGATTTTTCTTTTTTAATATTTTCATTTATATATAACAAAAAAGAACAAACTTAAATGTAAGTTTGTTAACTACTTAAATACGATGCGGCATCATGCTATTAATTAAATTTGATAACTTCAAAAATAATTAACCAGTTAAAAAGAAAACTAACAAATTTACTCTTCAAATATGAATGTTGTAAGAGAATTAAAAATGCTTTGCATTGTAATGTAATTTATTTTCATTCTAAATTTGATAATTTCTTTCATGAATACAATTAATCAATAAAAATGAAGAGTTTGACTTGTTTAGCTTTTCTAGTACTTCTTTTCTTTTTCTTTCTGTAACCACTTCACCAATTCTAAATTAACGACTTTACTGACAATCTACCATATAGTAGCAGTTTTCTTTTTGCTTGTTATTTATTTAAATCAAAAAATATTTATGATTTGATTTGTTTACTGGGCACACTGTCCTGGAGAGGGAGAGAAATGACTTGGATAAAACAGTTGCAATCAACTAAATGGAATAAGCCTAATTGACTAAAATAGTGAGGCAATCTAATCACAATCTTTTGACAAGTACAACTTGGAACTCACTGAACAATTGGATTACCATAATTGAACTATTGTTATGATTTTTATCTACCATTAATTGTAATTAGTTTGAACATGATTGCTTATTAAAGGCAGATCTAAGGCAAGAATAGGCAAGGTTATCTTACATAAATTGTTGTTCTTAGATTTTCTTTTAATTCATTCTTTGGCACTGTAATTATCAGCATTATACATGTTTAATCCATTTAGTCAACTGCTTTATTAAAGTCATCTTCCTCCAGGACTGTATGTCTATTAAACTCTAGTCAGGCCTAATTTACTAATTACAGATAGGAATAGGGAGAGACCTGTTCATTATAGTTTGTGATTTTCCCACTTCCTTGTAAATATGTCTTTGTCTGTTTAAAAATATCACTTTATTTTGAATTCCTAGTTTTATTTCAGTAGTGTTCATTTTCTCTCTCTCTCTCTCTCTCTCTCTCTCTCTCTCTCTCTCTCACTCACTCACTCACTCACTCACTCACACTCATGTTCACAAATTTTCTGTTTATATGCTATTTTTTTTTTTATAGATGCAAATATTTAAGTAAATGCTTCCTCTGTAGCTAAATGTATAGCACCTCAGGTTATATGATGGTTTTTGTGTAGGATATAGGTTCAATTCCTGTCGGAAGACGCATATTTCTCGGGCATTCAGGCTTGTAAATGTTGTTAATACTATTTCTTATAAAAAGAGCATTTACTTAAATATTTGTATCTATAAAAATAACATATAAACAGAAAATATATTAAAATACTTGCTGGACTTAGTCCATTTGATATATATATATATATATATATATATATATATATATATATATAGGAAAATCTATGACAAAGTGAGAAAAGTTTTTGTGACACATTTTGTCCTTTAGGACTTTATCAGACTAAAGTAGTGTTTATGTTGATGTGACAACATGCATACAAAGGAGAGGGGCTGCTGCAAATTTAAACTAAAAAGAAATTTTTTTAAATAAAATATTATGAACACAAAAGGGATCTGTTACAAAACAACAGGCTCAATGCATTAATCTGTCACTGTAATGAGTCTGAGCATAATTTAGATTTTAAAAATGATACTTTAATTGAAAGCTAAAGTGATTTACTAAGATGAAAAGGTATAGAAATTGCTTTAAATGTTAGATTGTTCACATTAAATTTGCGCCTAAACTAATTTTCATTCTAATCTTTTTATCACAATGTAAGATACTTAATAACAAGTGATAAAGAAAAGGACTGGTCAGTTTCATTTACTTTCTATCTACCCAAAACACACATTTAAAAAAAAAACATAAATGAATAAAAATTTCAGTGTCCCCTCTCTTTCATGCGCATGTGTAATTACATCAATGTAAACCTCATTTTAGTAGGATGTAGTCCTATAGGACAAAATGCATTATGAAAACTTTTCCCACTTTGTCATATATATATATATATATATATATATATATATATATATATATATATACACACACACACACACACACTGGTTTGTTCTCTTAAAAACCTTGGATTTGCATTTTTAGCTAGACGTATTTAAATTTGGAATAATAATAATAATAAAAAAATATTTTAAATATTGGCAATGGTTGATGTTGAAGACAAATGCACTCCTGGTCACAATCTTAAGGCCAAATACAAAATGGTTAAAAAATATAAAATACTGTTACTTTAATCAAAATATATTTCCGCATCATCTCTATTTAATTAGAACATGTAGTTTATCAACAAACAAGTATAAATTTTAAGCTTTTAATTGATTAATTTAAACAAACATTGAAGATAAGACCATGTGTGTAAGGTGGGGAGTGCTGGACAAAAATTTTAGAACTAGTCAGTGTGCTCATAGCTTCAGTTGTATTAATATTGATATTTTCCTCTTTATACTCAGTCAATCAAAGCAGTTTGAATATAATTTTTTTTAATGCAGTTTGTTTTGTTAAATAATCCAAACCCAGTTTATAGAAATTTCAAAAGTATTCATACCACTGTTTAATTGTAATAGTTTCTTAAAATTTAGTCAAAGACTTACTAAGAATCTAATCCGCCTGATATATAAAATACTTTCCTGAACAATTTATTTCAGACTTCATAAAGAAATTGTAGTATTAACGGTGTCTGTAGTTTAACTGAGAATAGATTTTGGTGCAAGGAGCCAACAAGATCCTTTACTAAATTTTAAAAAATTAGTACCACTAAATGCTGATACCATCAAGAATACTTTTTAAATTTTTATAAGTTTGGATTATTTAATGAGATTACTTTGTTAAATAATCCAAAACAAATTTTATAAAAAAAAATTAGAAATACTCATGGTTATGTTTAATGGTGCTAGTTTTTAACTAAATACATATAATTTTAAGGATCTAATCAGCCTCATGTATAAAAAATACTTTAGTAGATCATTTAGCAATAAAGAAATTCCCTATGACAAAATTATATGCTCTCTCCCTTCAGCTATTACTTATTTTCAACAATGGAAGCGACAAATAGATTGTTAGCATTTTGTTTGTGAGGGAATATATTAAAATACACTCTTTTTATTAATTGTGTTTTAGTCAGTGATAAATGCTTGGTGCTACATCACACAGAGGTATCATGAAAACCTTGATTGTATGATTTATATTTTATTGAAAGATGACTTTTCAAAAGCTTTTTTTTTTTTCTTTTCTTTTTTTTTCCCATAAATTGTTATTTTCTTATTGTTTTTTCAGCAAACAATGGCAACAGAACGTACACAAAACGATTACCCTCAGCATTCAAGATCTCAGATTTCTGGAGTTATTTGGAAGGCATGATGGAGGAACTGGGTTGTTGTGAGAATTTTCTATCAAGTCAGCCTCTAGAAGGACGCTGTTCAAAATGTCTTAAAGTCAGCACCCACCGAATCAAAATTGGTATGTATGGTACCTTCTGGTCATGATCATTTACTACAGTCTCCTCTGTTTATGTCTCTTGCCTATGTCTGACTGACTCTATGTATGTATGTATGTATATATATATATATATATATATATATATATATATATATTCTTCTTCTCTAATCAAAATATAATATTCTGCTTAACATTATCATGACTCCAATTGAAAAGAATTTATCTAAACTTAAAATAAAATTTGTTACAACTATTACTAAAACAAAAGACTTAATACAGAACAATAATAGTATGCAAAAACTTTGAAGAACCTGTAATAATTGCCTCAAGGAATTTAAATAAAAGATCATATGAAAATAAAAGGATCTTTTACAAAACACATTAAAGACATTAGTTGCTCACTATAATGCACCTGACAATAATTTTGATTTTTAAAAATAAAAAAAAATAGCTGCTCTAATTAATAGAGAAAGCAATTTACTAAGACGAAAGTGTATAGAAAGTGATTTGATTGCTAGTAAATTTGTGTCCAGTTCTTACATTTACCTATCTTGGCAAATCTATTATCTCAATGTGGGATACCTTTTAATAATTCATAAAAATATAAACAAAAGGAAACTAAATGAAATTGGCTAGAATATATACCGAAACATCAAAGATACAAAAAGATACTTATTTATTCCAGTTTAAAATAAACTATAAGAGATATTGACACAAATGTCCCACTTTTCTGTTGATTTAGAAGAGATAAAACAGTTTTATTGTTTTATCTAAAAGAAAACTGAACACTATTTGAATATGTCTGCATATTTACCAGACTATTCAAGCTGTTAGTTAAATTCTGAAAGGGGATCCAATAAAGTTTATACTACTTTGAGAAGAATGATTTCATTAAATATCTTGTGAGAAGAAAATACTAAAACAAGATTTTGATAATTGGGTATTTGTCTTTTTCATAATGGGATCTCGGGGAATAGCAGGTAATCAACAGTATAAATCAGACATTACACTTAGAATCAGTAGGCATTCCTTCTGCTTGCAGAGAGAAGGCTGCTTAGATTTAATATAAATGATCTCAAGAATCCTTAGAATGCACTTTGCTGATTATAGTGAAGAAAAAAAAATCGCTAGAGAAAGACAAAGCACAGATCAGATTATTTATTAAGTATTCTACAATAGCGAAATCAGAAGAATTCACAAGCATTTATATCATTTTAAAATGTCTGTTTCAAAAGCTTCAATAAAATTTTGTGCTCATTCCTGAGAGATTATATATAAAGTTCATTGGTATATAATCCAGGTGTATCCTAGTAATAACAAATATTAAAACTGATCCACAGAGAGCTCAATGTCTTTATTATAACAGCGTATATATTTTTTATGGTAAAAACTAAAATTATCTCAGCATGAGAATTAGTCTATTTCTGACTGATTTTAACCCAGCTGTCTTCAGTGTTTGTCTGTAAGGGAGGGATTAGAATTTATTTTCAATATTGGTTCCCCTCTGAGAGATGCCTTGTTTATGATATGGTGCTTGAGTTGGTGACTTGGGGGAACTGAGGTATCTCATTACGGGGGAAGTAGTCTGGGGTTGAAATTTATTTATGGCTAGAGTCTTTTGTTGTCTGTAACTAAATTTTGGTTACTATTATGGTGTGCTCCATATGCTAGCAATAAGTGTGTGTTTTGTTTTTTTCCCCCCCACCCCCAGGGATTTACAGTGAATAGTATTTAGATCATAAGGGTTTAATGTCATTAATATATTATGGGGAGATTTAACCTTAAGACCAATTAAATTAATTAGGTAAATCAGTTGACTGATGGATTCATGAATTGTGGGTAATACCGGGACATTTAATGGAATAGATCATGCTTTCTAACACACGTACACGTGTCTGTGCATTTACATATGCATACACTTATGTGTACCCACATACATGTATATAAGTAAGTATATGCACATACTCCCCCATACATGTATATACATATCTTATGTAATTTGGAATCTGAATCTTGGGAATTGAAGGAAAAGGGTCTGAATCCTTAAATAAGTTTGAAAATTTTAGATTTCACAAACACTCCCAATAGTTTTAGAGGTAGGTGCATGCTATGCTTGGAGGAGAAAATTAGGATAATAAAATGCAACAATCGATGCAGACTATTAAATCAAAAGAGTTAATTACAAAATGTAGGCATAAGAACACACTCAAAATTATGTAAAAAGCCTCATAAGTTATCTCCTTTTAATTTTTTACATTTGGATTTTTCAGTGATGGGAACAATTTGACAAAGTGAAGATTCAATTTAACGGTTTTGTTGAGGCCAGTTTCAGACCAAATGACATTTGCTGTTATGAACACCAGACCCTAAATAAATGTTAACTGCATGTTTTTGTTTGTTCTAGAAGAAGACAGCCCAGAATCTCGCGAAACTCGTGAATCAAGAGAGTCACGTGAAACCCGGGAGTCTCGCGAGCCTCGAGATTCTCGCGAGCCACGTGATTCTCGTGAGCCACGAGAATCTCGTGAGCCACGTGATTCTCGAGAGTCTCGCGAATCAAGGGAGTCCCGTGAGTCACGAGAATCCAGACACCACAAAGGGCCTCGGCGACGGTATTCCACAGAATCAATAGACAGCCAAAAAGGAGTCCGTATGCATAAAATTCAACGGAAAATGTCTGCATATGAAGCAGAAGGTAAGGACTCTTGTGCATTTACAAATTACAGCTTTTATTTTACCAAATTGTACTCAAGAATTGTTTACATAGAATTCAAATACATTGCAGACAAATGCAATAATCAACTCAACTGATATGAAAATTCCTCATTACCTCTGATCAGCGAAAATTCTGCTTGTTAACATTTACATTATGTCAATACCTCATAAATAATGGACTATTCCATTTTCATTGTGAAGTAAGACGGAAAAGACATATCAGAGATGCTGTTCAGTTTCAGTAAGAAAAGGAAATGAAAAGTAGAAGAGGCAAAACTGCACACATGAGTTTAAAGTCCACTTCAGTGAAATGGAAAAAGTTGTGAGTCTCAAATCTATTCATTTGTTCTCTTACTTTAAGTTATGAGCAATATTTTAAAATTGTTAATCTCAAATATTCAACAATGCATTAGTGGAATATCCACAGGTATCTTACAATTGTAGAAACGTGCAAGTAGCTTATTCAGTCATTCAAATAGGAAAGATAAAATTTTAATCTGTATTCCTGATCATATAAATTTGAATATTAACATCATTAACCTTTTGAAATTCTTTATTGGTATTAAATTTAGTTTTATCATTATATAGTGGGCTATAAGTTTTTAGCCACCCTTAATTATAGCAATTTTGACTTGTGTAATAATTTTTTTTTTTTTTTTTTGTTTTTTTTGTGTTTTTTTTTACAATGCTGTCCTAGTATCATGCTACTCTAATCTATGAACGATAGTTAACTTATATTTTGCAATGAAAGTTCGAAAGTAAGGAAATTGAATTTTAATGAGGGCAAATAATAGGATGGCATCAGTGTGGCAAGTCAAATAGAAAAATTGCTAGGTTTTTCCAGGTTAATCATCAAACGGTTAATAATATTGTCAAGAAATTTAATGAAGGTTGTGTGGAACAAGGTTCAAGAAGACCAAGCATCATATCTGAGTGAATGAAAAGGGCACTAAAGATGGAAGTCGTCAAAGATGTCAACAGCATAGAAATCTCACCATATGCAGTGCAAACGACACTGAAAGATCTAAGCTATTAAAGAAGAATTGCAAGAAAGAAGGCCTTGATTTCAGAGGTTAACAAAACAGGTGTATGGACTGTGCGAAAGAATTCGAGAGCAAAGATTATGAATTTTGGCAGTCTGTAATTTGATCAGATGAAAGTAAATTCTGCCAATATCCGAATTCAAGATCATTTTATGTTTGGAGAAATCAGAATGAGACCTGGAAGACTGTCTGCAGGCAACTGTGAAACATGGAGGGAGTGTGGGGGCACTGTGTTTTGGAGGGAAATCTGAGCTGATTCTTGTTGACAAGTGGTTGAATGGTCCAAAATATTGTCAAAAATTAGAGAAAGGACTACTCCCACTATTTGAAAGCAATCAGATTGACAAGAATGTCTACCTTTTTCAAGAAAATTGAGCGCCATGTCATACGAATAAAGTAGCAAAGACCTGGAAGGAATCACAAGGAATCTAGTCACTGTGATGGGGAGCCCAAAGTCCTGACATGGATCCAATCGGGCACGTTTGGGAGCACCCTCATCAAAAACTTTGAGAGCATGCAACCAAAATCATGTCAGTGACAACCCTTAAAGAAACATTGCTAAAGGAGTGGTAAAATATGGCTCAGACGATTCTTGATAACCTGATCAAATCCATGAAAAATCAAATACAAGCATTGAAACTAGTAAATGGAGGACCTACTCTATACTAGTTCCAAATATTGTTTATTTATGTTGCATAGGGATTACGTAATTAAATTTTGAAATTGGATGTAGTTTATTTCTCCTGGCTAAAAACTTTTCTTAGGCCACTCATACACACACACATACATATATATATATATATATATATATATATATATATATATATATATATAGTGATACCTCAGCTTAAATTGTTTCCGAGATATGTCAGTCTTTTCTTAGGCCATTTTACATGAGTTTACATCGTCAGTTAAAAATATTAGAAATGCCCAAATACTAAAATAACAGCAAACACATGTAAAATCATATTTAAATAAACTTACAAATATTGTGTGTGTGTGTGTGTGTGTGTGAACATCAAAACCAAAAGATTAGCACAATAAAGTATGTTCAGTATATGTTTTTATTTCAAATTTTTGCTGACAGATCACACTTGTGCGTTGTTTTCCACTCCAACACCGATTTTGAATTCATACTTGTTTACATCTGTACTCTACCATTGATGTTCATATATTGTGATTTAGAATACATTTTTATCCATGTCTGAAGAAAAGTCCCAGTGCTAATGCTAAGCATAAGGCTATATCGCTGGAAGATAGGTGCAAATAATTTTATTCAGAATATTGTATGTGCACTTGAATACTTTAATAGGTTATGGGGAGTGCTTATTTTCAGTTTATAGTGTGGTTATTTCGACATAAGTCGTGACCTCTGGAACCAATTAACCATATAGGGTGATGTATACCTGTGTGTGTTGTGTAATATAGGCATATTATGTCTACTTATTTTTTATACTGATTCTTTCCAGTTGTCTAGTCAATTTCTTGATGTCGATAAAATTCATTAAGTAAGGTGCTGTAGTTTTTTTTTTTTTTTTTTTTTTTTTTTTAGCTAAGTACTTTCAAACTTTTCTAAGATCATCTTCAGTGGTAAATTACAAAGATAAACCTGCTATTGTAACTGTGATAAAATCTTTGTTCTGTTGTCATAATGAATTTTAAAAACATGCACGAATGCACTATTATAGTTAAAATTTTATCCATTTTAGTTATGGAATTTTTTATAAAACAAGCGTTTCAATATAAATAGAATTGGTAGAAATGTAAAATGTTTATGTTGTTGCTATATTCATAATAATTTATGTTGAGTTTATGCCTATATGAGCGTATTCTTTGACATAAAAATGTAATGACTATCATTAAAATATGAAAGTGTCTTAAAATATTTTCATCATTAGGACTTTTTCTCTGGGCAAAATTTTAAAAAAATGATTTTCATTTGGTTCTTTTGAAGCTGGGTAATTCAAAAACTGGTCTCTGATTTCTTGTAGATTGGGTGATCACTTAGATTTGTATTTATTTATTTATTTTCCCCCTTCCACCTCTTGCAGCCAGTTCTACGACATCTGATCACAGACCACACAAACCAACCGGTGATCCTTCAGATTGGTCCATTGATAACGTGATCAACCACATTTGTGATACTGATCCTGCATTAGCACCACACACAGAAGCATTCCGTAAACACGTGAGTGATCCCTTTTCACAATTCATTATTTCTGTTCACTCTGTTGGCATCTTTGCTTCATCTTCACAAAAAAAAATGTTTTAGTTATTTAATTGGCTTAGACTGATCATTCAGTAATATTTAGTTGGGTGGTCATTACACTCCCTCACTTTCTCTCTTATCAGAATAAATATCTCTAGAAAAGAATGAAACTTCTTGATTTGACACTAAGTATTTCTGAAATATCAAAACGTGTTAGATGCTTGTGATCACTAGTGATGAATGCCTGTTGATTATATAAGAAAAAGCATTCAAGATTTAGGGATATGGGAAAGGAACAGATAGCTTCCTACTAACAGAAAGGCTCCTGTGGCAAAAAAATATGCAGGTAGTTAAAGGCATGTGTCCCAATCCACTGTATATTGATCCTTCTACAAACAAACCATCAACAAATATATGGAAAAAAGGTGGCAAGAGAATTTTGACACTTGCCCAAACAATAAATTACATAAAATAAAACCAACCATAGTATAGTGACAGAGCTACATACTGCCCATAAAAGAGGTGTTGCTGACCAGGCTCTGTATAGGACACACATCTATGCAACACCCTCGTACCCTAATAAAGGGGGAGAGAGCCCCAATATGTATGACATGCCAGGAAAAGTACACAGTAAGCCATATACTGACAACATGTAAGAATCTGAAACGAGCCCAAATCAAATATTACCAAAACCAGAAAGAACTCCTTACTCAGATCAATCGAGATGACATTTTTAAATCAAGAAACCTACCTATTTACCATAATCAGAGAAAAATAAAAGCTTTTAACATAAGTACAGTTTATAAATACAAAAACTAACAACTTTTGACACAAGTATAATATTAAAAAAAAATTAACTTAATTTCACTACAAAATAATAATACACAAATATAAAATCCCAGCAGTACTTGCTTTGGCATTAGATAACTCACTAGGAGTTGATATGCCATTAAACAAAACACACAAACTGATCCTCGTTAACACAAACCAGACAAAATACCCATGATAAGCAATGTCCATTACTAATATCTTCTTTAATAGGCACATGAATGTCAGAATTTGACACTGTATCCATGTAAGGCTATCCCTAAAATTTAGTCTTTTTTTTTTTTTTTTTTTTTTTTTTTCATCAAAAAAGGTAGGTTGCAGAGTGGTTGTATCATTGTCTTGGAGGAGTGATGGCACCAGGGGGCTGTGTGAGGAAAAGAACTGGTGGTAGAATTGAGGGTTTAGACAATTTCTTGCTGGAAAGCACACTCACGTCATTCATGTAGGATATAACATTACTGAAGACCAGGCATGAATCTTCATGATAAGCCTTCTACAGTGAGTTTTTCAGCATGATAATGCACTCTGCCTCACTATATCACAAGATATATGTAAATGGTTTCAGAAATTAGACTGGTCAGCTAATAAAAAAAACAGAGGAATAATTTTGTAGATGTGCATATATTAAACCTTAGCAATAATGTATCTTGTCATAGAGCAAAGGGTCTTAAAACTTTTCAAGAAACGCATATAAAAATCAGTGATATGGCCAGTAAACAGTCCAGATTTTTTCATATACTACTATTCACCAAGTACAAGAGCCACTCAAGGTAGAGCATTGCTAAGTGATTGCTGTAAGGGCATGAAAAGAGGAAGTAATTAATCTATTTTATGGATACATGTAAGATAACAGTTGACATCTAAACTTAAAGAGGTTAAAATCCTAGTGATTAAGAAAGATCCCTTTCAAGAGACTTTCATTAAATAACAGTTCTAGAGAAGAAGCTCTCTGAGTGAAATTTTGTCCTCCCCAGTGGGTTAAGAGGGGGATCAAGATGTCAGTAACTGGTATTGTGGGTCCTAGCTGTAAAGGTCTGAACTGGTGGAACTAAGGAATGTAGCTCATCTGAACATCAGCTATAAAAATAACAATAGTAGCAAGCAACTGGTCACATTCCATCCGTGGAAAAGATGTGGAGTGAAAAATAATTCATCATCTAAAAGGCTGTGCAAATGCTTTTAAACACTACCAAGGCTTGAAAGTAAGGATTTGTCAGCTCCAGCCCAAGTATAGCAGTTATACTCCATTTGTCTGATCTGAGGCTGAAGAAGTCTGATACTTTCTGGAACAGTACAAGGAACTAACCATTTTTCTTGTAGCTTTTAGATATTGATAATCTGTAGAAGTTTAGTTAAGGCCTGTTGTAAGCTTGAGTCTCAATAGATATTCCATTCAAGGAACCTCATTCCCATGACTGGAGGAAAAACAGCTTCTGCTTAGTGATGATGGGATGCTACTAGCCAGCTCTACTACCATGATGATGATGATAATAATAAAAGACAAAAAACACCACCTCGTACTGGATTGGTTGTCAGACTGGTTAATAAGAGCTACATCCCTCAGAGAGTAACCAGTCTGGGGTGAAAAAATCTGTCACTGGAATAAACTCTTCAACTAACAATGAGACACCTGGTCATCAAAACTGGATTAACTCCAACTTTGACCCTGGTGACTTAAATGTGAAATCAATTAATCAAAAGAAAGCGAACGAAATGGCATTGTGAAGAATATAAACAAGTCATGACATCTTTTTTTCACTGTGCTCAAAAATCTGCAAAAGAGCATAACAGATCAGACTTAACAAATATGGAGAGATATAGTAGGAACTGAAATAAGACCCTATCTCAACCCAAATATGCTTGCCAATGTCCACTGGGACATCATGTGAAATAAGGCTCTCAAATGCAGAAATAGATCAGGCAAGACTAAATCTAACACAAAAGACAATGTTGCAAGAGTGAAAATAAATAATGACAGAGGATGAGGTACAAACTAAAACAAATAAGATATGAAATAATGATCTCTCAGGAAATGGAAGAATCTAACTGCAACATAAACAATTGCACTTATGAAGATGAATCAAACAACATTAGAGCAGAATTCCTTGAAAACAGAGTTGAAATCACCGAAGCAAAAAACCACATTCAAATAATCAGCAAAGTAACTTGCACAGAAATGTCAGAGACCAGCTTCCAAAAATTAATGACAGAAGTCAAATGTTGTGCAAACATTGTTAATGGACAGACAGTTGGTAAAGCATCACAGGAATAATGTCACATATGCAATAGCTTAGCAGTGACTGGAAAAAATTAATATTAAGACAAGGAAAAGATCAAATGGACAAAAAAAAAAAAAGTCCCCTTGGAAAGCAAAATTAAAGCAAAAAATTGAGGGAATCAGATGTAAATTATACAAGATGAGATTTCAAGAAATTCAAATGTTTTGACACAGAAAAGCAGGAAGATCAAACGAAAATAGAAAATTAAAGTATTAAATGAAATTCCACCAATCAAGAAAATAGTTAAACAGAAACTTCAATTAAAGATATAAAGAACATGATATATAAATTGTTGTAGGTTCTAACAACAAAATATGATACTTCAAACAGACCAAGAAGTTTTACAGGGAACAAAATGCTGCCTTCTATTGAAGAAGTGCAAAAACTTTGGGGGAATATTTGGAGCCGGCCAAAGGAATATAATCCCAATGCAGAGTGGATCAGATGAGAACAAGAATGAATGAATGAATGATAAAACCTGTACAAGAAAAAATATAAACACAAATAATGTAAGGCAAATCTCTAACAAAATTTCGAAAATAGAAATCCCTAAGAAATGACAAGCTACTCAACATTTGGCTCTATTATCTATCATAAATCCATAAAACCCTTTCACAAACATTATCAATGCTAATTAATAATCTCACTAAAATTCCAGAATGGATCACTAGAGGTATTACATATCTTCTACCAAAAACAGGTGAAAGAGATTATCCCAAAAATTTATAGGCCAATAACATGTCTGTCCATCACACACAAATTGATTACATCTGTCCAAGAGAATTGTACTTACTCTCTTCTTAATGAAAACAACATTCTTCCATATAGAATATAAGGGATGGATTACAAATATCAACTATGGATAAATAAAATTATCCTGGAAAATTGTAGTAAAAAAAAGGTAGAAATCTCAATAGTTTGGATAGATTATCATAGTGTACCATACTCTTGTATCCTTAAGGCTTTGGAAATATACAAAGTCACTTCGGTGATAGTAAATTTCCTTAAATGTAGCATGGAACTATTGAAAACCACATCTCTAAACCATACCAAAGGTACTTCTACTTCCAATTGTTTGAATCTTTCAAGGAGACTCCCTGTCATCTGTTCTGTCTGTCCTTCATCTTCCTTTTGCATGAACTAAAGAGTAATAATTATGCATACAAAGTAAAACAAAAAAAAAAAAAAAAGTATTTAATCACCAATCACACATGGATAATATCAAACTCTTTGCCAAAGATGACACTGAGTTGAAGTCCTCAATACTGTAAAATGTTTCAGTGATGACATCGGTATGGATTTCAGATTAATGTATAAAAGTAACCTTCAAGAAATGGAGAATTACAGAAATACACTTAAGTTCTCTATTTTGTCACATTTTAGGGAACTGGAGCAAGAAGCTTTTGAGTCAGTGAAGGCGATAGAATACAATGTACCTAAATGATTGCTAACTGAAAATTACCAAGCACACATACTGAAAAATTGTGTTGATCTGATATACAGATTCTGTGATAAATATCCAGAAACAACCATTTTGTATCAGGTTGCATGGTATTAGCATCCACCAAATATAAATGGCCAATATCTGCATTGGAAAATCTGCAACTTTTATGAGAAGGAAACTGCAAGAAATTGGTATGAACACTACCCAGACCTGGTTACAGACATAGGAACTGTATCACTGTTATGGTACTTTACAATATGCACACAGAACAATCAAAGCTATTTGCCCAGACCGCTAAAACAAAAAATACTTTCATATTGACATGGCAGTTCCTGCAGACCGTAACGTATCTTTGAAGATCTTTAAAAAAAAATAAAATAAAATAAACTATCAGTATACCAAGATCTTAAAGTGGAAATCTCAAAAACGTGGCACATGGGAACATCAGTAATTCCAGTTGTTTGGAGCCCTCGGATTCATTGGAAAAGATTCTAATAGACACAAATGAAGGGATTCCTGCTAGCCCATGCCTTAAAGAAATACAAAAAATTGTTCTCATAAGTAAAACTCACATCTTCCAAAGGGCTTTATCTATAATGTAAAATGTGTATAGTCTTAGTTATTTATTTTTAAATGTTCAGTGAAAAATGTCATGATGCCATTCCTGACCTTAGGTTTCTGTTTTGGATCTGAAAGGAAATGAGTACAGAACAGAAATCAATGATGATAGCAATCTGAACTCTAAATGGCATCGACAAATGGATTCTAAGACAAGAAAGCTTCTTTCTAGGCATAACATGTGTCATCCAAAGGCTGATGCAGACTGTCTATACATACCCTGTAATGAAGGTGAAAGAGGTATATTCAACTAAAATTGTCATACAAGACAACAACTATTGACTTACTAACATACATGGAAAGAACAAAGAATTGGATGATACAATTAATCAAACAAAACAAAAAGAAAAATATCCAATCATGAAAGAAGGTTGTATATATGAACAAGATTTACATTTAGTATATTCTGTAGAAAACCAAAACAGAACCCAAGAACAAACTGTTGCAGCAAAAAATATGAAAAAGAAAACCTAGCATAAAGCTCTTGAACATATGAAACAATGCTGGCAAAACTAACATCTGCATGGCCAGTATCCAGAATGTTCTAATAAAGCTGATGTTGATAAAGTTAACTCATTAATTGTTACAAGCATCTGGATTAAAGGCTGAAACAAAAGGTTTTATTTTTGTAGTGCAAGACCAGTCTTTTCACTAGAAACTTTCAGGCAAATATCGTACATAATAGTGTGGATCCAAAATGCAGGTTCTGTGACAAATATGAAACCATAGACCATCTAATTTCAAGATATTCTGTACCTGCGGCAAATGAATATAAAAAGCATCATGATAAGAGTGAGGCAATATTTACACTGAACAATGTGCAAACACTTTAGAAAAGATGTTTGCAAACACTAGTATGAACGGCACCAGTTATAGAAATAGAAAACATCACAATTCTATAGGATTACACTGTCTTTACAGACAGGAAGATTGAAGCAAATAGGCCAGACATAAGTTAACAAAAACAAGCTTGCCTATTAATTGATATAGCTTTCCCAGTGGACTGTAACATAGCAACCAAGGAATTTGAAAAACTATCTAAGTATAAAGACCTGGAAATCAAAATAACAAAAATGTAGAAATTGAAAACAAGAATAGTACCAGTCATAGTAGGTGCACTTGGAATGATAAAAAAGGAACACAACAACACATTGAAAAAATCTCTGAAAATCTCAGCTTAAGAAAAATACAAAAATTTTCTTGTTAAGTACAGCCCGAACACTAAGAAAAATTTTGTCTATGTAATGCTAGTGATGTTATGGGAGTTATAAAACAAATCATGAAATATAGCTATAACAATGCACCACTATTTGCCTTATGTCTTCCCACAGACTTGGTAGGTAGTGTGACCATAGCAGAAATCGAAATATAATTATAATAGCAATAATGATATCTGTCTATATCTCTGAGATGAGGTATTATGATTACTCGTATTATTTACATTATTCAGATTTATCCTCATTGCCATATTCCCGTTTCAGCCATTGTATGCTCTGGCCTACTTCAGGTGATTCGAATTTCAGACCAAAAACCTTCATTTCATCCACCTGGGCAGGTTGTTTGGTGTCTCAGTTATTTCCCTTTAACTCAACTCTCCAGATTTTTGGTTCACCACTGATGTTGTCTGGTATTGAACTCACAACTCTTTGGGTCTGGTCACTGGATCTAACCAACGTCTTTATCCACTCGGCCATGTGTCCTGGAGGCATAGGGGAGAGGCATGGCACGTGGAACTAGAAAAAAAAAAACCTACCCTGGTGGGCGAAATAAAGGGTTCAGTTTGAAATTCTAATCACCTGAAGAAGGCTGACATGTACAACAGCTGAAACATGAATATGAAAATGAGGATAACAGTAAATAATACAAGCAATGATGATAATAATAGTAATAATCACAGCAATGATGATGATGATAACAATCCTCGTCTATACAACAAAGAGCTATTAACTGCCATTCAGGAAAGTTGGAAGAACTTTGATGAAGAATATTACTTTAAATTTGTAAAATCCATGCCTCAAATAATTAAGGCAGTCACAAAAGCTTGAGGAGGGAGCAATTTAAGTATTAATTTTGTTTTTCTCAATGGATTCCATATTTCCCTCAATATTGGCTTATTCCGTGATATTTTCCTCTGTATGGCTTAGAAAAACATATCCCTAAATGACTTCTCACAGGATTTAAATTTACCAATTTATCTTTGTTCTTTTAATGTGATGAATATTTGTAGCTTGGTTAAGCAGTCTACACATTTCCTTTTAATGTTACATTTTATTTTGCATATCAGATTCAAACAGTAGAAAATAGCAACGCTGATTCCAATTGTATATTAGTACTAACTTCATTTGATTGATTGATTGTGTATATATATATATATATATATATATATAGTTTATGCACACTTAGGTAATCCGTATGGGTACCTTAACCTCCCAAATATGCATGTTAATGTAACGCGAATTAACAGCGTCTAAGAATTTGAATGAAACCGGTCGTGTAATTGATAACTTCTTCCTTTAATGTCGCTCTTATCATTCACCCCTTAGCCATCTATATCTAGAGACGAGACGCGTTAAATTTGAGCAACATCTAGCCGACACACTGGAGTTAAAAATAGGAAATTGAAATGATACATATGACACACTCATATCCTCTCTCCCACCTCACTTTCGTTAATTTTACGTATACTTGATGAGGTCCATCAAAAAACGTGTGAATTTCTTTTTCATTTTAGCTTTTGGAAGTAAAAGTCTGATGATCCAGAACCCTGTTAAAGGGGTTATGGTGGAATAACTTATTACATGGAATCTTAACATGGTCTGTTTTTTTTCAAATAATATTCAATATATATATATATATATATATATATATATATATATATATAAAACACGCAAATATAAAATTTGTCACTTAAGATGCTGAAGGTAATACCAATCAGCTAACTCCAGAGTTTAATAAATGGACCCTCCCACAATTCACTCATCAGGGAGTATCGGCAATTGGATGATTATATTTTTGTTTTTTTCTTTTATGTATGTACTTTTCATTGGTGCAGGGCTTCTTTTTTTTTTTTTTCTTTTCCTCTCTTCCTTTCATTGTTTGTGCATTAAGCAAAGTATTGGTGTTTCTAATTACTTCCCACAGCTTTTACTACTAATCTCTTCCTAAATTTTAGTCATTTTCTGCAATAATAAACTAAATATTTTGGATATAGGGGGAATTATTTTTGTATATTGAAAAGTATTACACAAACTATAATTCTCAGATTTATTTAAAAAAAAAAAAAAAAAAAAAAAAAAATTCTACCCCTACTAAGTAAATGAAAATTATTTATCAAGTTCAATATAACAAAATTGTTTATTTTTATTTATTTTTTTCATCACTAGAGAAAGTTAATTACATATAGATTGATAATTCACTTTCTTTATATAATGGACTCTTCTGGTGATACTTTAAAAAATTACAAAAATATAGAAACGTATATGAATTTTTATATATACATATTTTTTTTCTTTTTTGTTTTTTTTCTCTGTCTCTTCAGGAGATTGATGGGAAGGCCCTGCTTCTGCTGAATAGTGATATGATGATGAAATATTTGGGTTTGAAACTTGGCCCGGTTTTGAAGTTGTGTAACATTGTAGACAAATTACGAAGCTCTGTGGTTGGTGGCAGCGGTTCCGGTCCAGGGGGAAGCAGCAGCAGCAGCGGGCGAAAGTGAAGACATTTTAATTTAATTTTTTTCTACACTCCTGCTTTCATTTCTGGTTATTCATTTTGGGCTGGCTGCTGTTGCATCAGCCATATAGTGCCTCCTAAATTCATCTGACCTGACCTTTGCTGAGTAAGGGGGAACACAGCATCAATCAATTTGTTCCAGTTCTGTGATCTGGTAACATTGTCATATAAAAGTCTCCTTCCACAACACAAAGCTGCTTTTAGCAGCTGATTATTTAAACTCTGGTTCCTCTTTCATACCAGCTTCATTCCACACACAGTTTTATTTTTATTTTATTTTATTCCCTCCCACCCCCGCCCCCATTTCATTCATTAGCTTTTAATTATTTTTTTTTTTTTTAAACTTATATTTTTTATTTTTTAATTAACTTATTTAATCATTAGTCATTACCATACATTTTCTTAAAGTCCCCCCTAATAATCTGTTAATATCCTGAGATGGTTTCAATCCAAATTAGGAAGAAAAGGTCAAAAGGTCAAGAATATAGTAACAACAGGAATGGAAAAAAAAATTCTGGTTGGGCTGTTTGCCAAGACTTTCTGGGATTTTTTTTTTTTTTTTTATATATAATATTCCCAGTTGACTGGCCATCATTTATCAGTGAATAGGTTGGTTTTGTCAATGTTGTGTTCAAAATGGACACAGGCAACCAGGAAAATTGCCATATGAAAGCGATAAACTGAAGAACAGACCGATTTCTATGTTGCAGAAGCCTTGCTTACAAGTAAGAGTTGGCAGAGGAAAGTATTTTGAAGTGTGCGTGCGTGTGTGTAAATATATGCACTTTGGAAGGTATAGGGAGCTGCAGGAATTTTATAAGAAAATCTTCCCTTTCTCCCTAACATTTACTTTATCACAAAGTGTTTCGCCTTCCGAAAGGGTCACAACTGGTGGATTACAGCTGCAAACATTTCTCTTACCACCTTCACCTCCCCTTCATCATTGCTGAATTACCAATTATTTTTATGCATGCCTTTATAAACTGCTGTAATAAATCAAATTTTGAGGATACACACAAATATATTAAGATAGCATGGTGATTTTGTTTGTCTAAACTTTGGAAAATAACATGAATGTGAGAACCCTTCGTTGAGCATTGCAAATCGAATATTGTATCATTTGCTGTTTTTAAAATATCAAGGGAAATAACTGTTGAAAGTTATTTCCCTTGACAACCCTGCAGGTGGGATGCTGACAAGCAAGATGATATTTAAGCTATTCATTGTTCTGATTTAAAATTAAAAAAAAAAATAAAATTGACTGAAAAATATTCAAAATATCGAAGAAACTGAAACAAAAAGTGATTTTTTTTTTATATAATTGCTATACTCTTTACACAATCAAGTCGGCCCTATTCCATGGTCATTCATAAAAAAATGCTCTGCTGTTAATGCTATTGCATTGAATCAATTCATGTTTATTGCCTGTATTCAATTTCAGGATTTGTTGACATTAATTCTCGTCATTACAGACTCCTTTTGTTTTTAAATGACTTGGTTCGTTTCTTTTTAAATAATTTTTATACAACTTTCTACTCGAGTATGAACAAAGTGCAACGAATGAGTATATAACTCCAGTTTTGCACTGGAAATGAGAGAAATGAAATAGAAGTGGTTGATCTTTTATTTTACACTCGATGTCCAGCTTTTTTGTGGAGTAGGATCTGATCCTTTGCTGATCTGTCTGCAATGATGCAGGATTTCTTGGACATTTTACTGCTTAGAAGCGTCCATTTTCCCAGGTGAGCTGTAACACTTGACTAGCAAAGAAGTGGGCTGATAACTGACAGTTTATGGAGCAATGGTTAGACTGAATGCATTGTAGACTCTGTCTTCATTTTTTATTATTATTATTGAGCAAGTGGACTCTAATACATGAGCTTACCATCACCTTTCCATTAAGCTATAACTCTTTGAAATTTTTTCTAATTTCAGTCCTTCAAATAGATAATAGCAGTAAAAATGCTACTTTTTTTAATATTTCTAAATCCTAAAACTATCCATGTCATAAAAGACCATTGAATTAGATATTAGTATTATGTAAAGTTATCAGCCAACCTCACCCCACCCTCAAACCTCAATGCCGCCTAAGTTAATGCCTTTCCCTTTTGGTATATTGCCTCTGACAAATGTTACATGACACCGTGAAGAACATTCTTTACAAGATAATAAATTTAGTTTACCAAAATAACTAATTTTATATGGTAATTTCTAATGACAACTCTAGCAAAAAAACCTTATTGATGTTATATAAGGATTCAATTGTCCAAAGTAGCGGTGAATGTTAACAACGCTTTTTTTGAGTAGCAGAAGCCAGTACAATATCTGCTAATTTCACACAGTAAGAATAAATATGTCATCGGTATCTTACGTAGGCATGACAATAAGTGCATTGCCCGCAAATATAGACTTAAGCAATGTATCCAGAAGTGGTCTGAAACCTCTTCTCTCCACCTCTCTCTATAAAGTTGTACATTGTACAGGTTTTTAGAGTTTATTTTAGAGGAGTCCAGTCAATGGAAGCATCCTTGAAATTTAGGAATAGGTATTTTAAACTTAGCTTAGTTTGGTACAAACATTGATCATATAGCCTGGATGAAGATTGTTGCAGTAGCATTGGCTTAGCAAGACTGGCTGGTTTTAAGCATTGTCTCACTGCAACATGTCCAATGTGCAGGACATTAAGACTTATTCAAAGTACTGTTGACAGTTACTGTTTGGCTGCACTGGTCACATCATTTTGGAATATCACCATCCTATTGGCTGGACATGCAGGCCTTTGCACTGGCTCCTGTTTTGTTGTTCTAAATTGGTTGCCAACCAAGGCTAGAGAGCCTAATCTATGTTGCTATTTAACTAGTGAGGGAGGTGGTTTTATTTATGATCCCTTTTTCAAGGGTATTAGTGTGGAAACTGAACACAGCAAGCTCTGCACACCAATCCCACTGAGATATATATATATATATATATATATATATATATATATAAACACACACTATTCCCTTCCATATAGATATACACCTATAATTTGATAATGCGTATTTATGGAAATATATAAAGTTTCTATTATTTCATCCCAAGCAAGGTGCTAAAGCCACTAAGATGCAAGGGGTTAGTGTGTGTGTGTGGAAGAATCTGAGAAAAAATATTAAGATAATGATTGACATTGCATTAGTTTTTTGAACAAAGTTGACTGGAAAGCAAGAAGCTGGATCATATTTACAATATCTAAAAGTAATATTTCATATCAACTTAATCAATAAACGGTAGATAAATCCATTTCTATAAGAACATCATTGTAAAGCCAATTGTATTTTGCTAAAATACAATCATCTTGCATGCTGATTACATATTTAAACCAGTTGAGTGGGTGTGTTTGTAAAGGTAGGTGTATTACGGGCTCCACTTCCTACTTGATTGTTGAAATCAGAATTGTCATTCTACACTGATTATCAACCAATTTATAGAGGAGAGCTCTGTTCTTTTACTTACAGCTGGGGATTCTAAAAATTACCCAAGGGCATTTGTTTGAAACAAATACCAACTGCCTATTCCAAAATTTGAACTTTGGTCACAGATTCCATTTTCTGTACTGTTAACTGGTTATCAAGAACACATCAGATATATGGTTAGGTTACTTCCAATTTGACATGTTCAACAGTACTTTATTCAAATGAATCCTGTTCTATATTGAAATTTAGTGTAAAATTATATATATTTTTTATAAGATAATAGTGGATGCTGTAAGGTCATTTCTATACTCAGCTAAAGTGTTTCACCTGCTCTAATTTTAAGAGGACCAGATTCCCTTTTGCTTGTTAGTTATGATGTTTTTTTTATTTTTTATTTTTTTTTTTTTTTTTTTTTTAACTATCTCTTTTTGTAAATCATAAATTCTCCAGCTTTTCTAACTTTTTAAATATATTGCTGGACTCTCACATCATATTCGATGTATGAGGGTCAAGCAACTCAGTTCCTAGGAATCGACAACCCAGACACCAGCAGATATGATTTGATTATAGTGGTGAAGGCTTTGTGCAGAACCAACCACACTTTTTGAAGAGTCGAATACAGAGATCTGGTGCATTACATGCCACAAGGTCCCCAAACAATTTTGAATTCAGAGTTGTCCTTCTCCTGGACAAGTTGCCATCCAAGGCTATAGAACCCAGTCTGTCTTGCTATTTACCCATAGCTGGGGGAGGAGAAGAGGATTCATACCTTTCCTAAGGGTATTAGTACATAAGTGCAATGTAATGGATTTGAGTGGAATTTGAACTTGGCTCTCTGATTCCTCAATCTGAGCCACTATCCACTACTTCACCATGCCTCCAATATATATATATATATATATATATATATATATATATATATGAAAATAACAGTAACTTTGCTACTTTGTCTACTTATGATTTTGGTCATTAATGATTTTACAAGTAAACAAAAAGACCTGCAAGTCCTTCCTTTTGAGTAAGTTTCATCTCTACCTGGGTGAATATAGAAATAATTGACAATGAAATTTCATGCCCCATCGATATTGGATGTTGTCACTTTCCAGAGGGCATCTTGTGTGCCAACATGGTGACAGTCTTATTCGAATGGCAACCATTTCTTAAATTCTTCCATCACCTTTCCACTTCTATTGCTCTTTCTCTCGATATTCATTGGACAAATCCTGATTTAAAAGCACAAATGATAGACTTACAAACAGTGATGGGAGAAAGAGAGATTTCTCTTTTGCGTTTAAAATACCCTTAATACCAGCTGCTGGGCTTACAGTGAAAGAATTAATATATTTTTACATTCCAAAATAAAAGTTCTAATAAAATACAAACTAAGAAATAGTTTTGTTTGCAAATAATGTTTGTTTATTTGTTTTTTGTTTTTTTTTTCATGTTATGTAGGAAAATTGCTTAATTGATGCATTTTGTTTTTTATAAAAACTTTTCAGAAAATCAACTTCAGATCATCATGGAAGAAAAGAGAATTTAATTTCCAATTTCATCAGGTCTTTGGGAGAACCAAGAGATTTGCCTATTGGTGAGCTCTCTTGTGTCAACTGAAAATATTTCATGTATATTTTGAGCTACATTTAATTTCTAATTGTTAATTTTATGTAGTTCTTTTATAGTAGGTGGGTGAAAAAAAATCCCTACTTACCCAAGGAAGAATTTTAAAAAGGTAAAAAAAAAAATATGGCAATTTCTTGTTCTCAAGTAATTTGTCCCTGAAACAATCAATCAATCAATCAATCAATTAAAGGAGTGATGGTGGTAAAGGTTTTTTATTCCCTGTCCACCCTTCTTTCCCAGCAGTTGTAACCCCCTCCCCCAAAAAATTATCTTAAGGAATTTGAAATAAGTAATTAAGAAATTTAATGGCTTCTTTCAAGTTTGTCTTGATGGTTCAGATTTTATTGTTAAATGAACTGGTGAGATTTTTTTTTTTTTAAGTATTGAAGGATGGAAGAAAATAAATTGGGTCTTGTCATAATTCCTCATCAGTCAAAAACAAATTCATTTGGCAGAAAAGAAAAAAAATTTTTTTTTTTAATTTTATGTATGGAATGTTACCATGTGACAAAAAAAGGCATTTTTATTTGTTTTTAATAAATTATAAAAAAAAAAAAATATTCAGAAAACAAATAGAAAGTATGAAAATGAAATGTGACCAACAATTGTTAAATGATAGAAATTTTATTTTTGCTATTAATATAAATTTTGCTGTTTGTTACATTTGCTTTTCATTATAGAATATTGGAAGAATTATAAAATGTTAGGAAGTTAGTTTTAAAAAAATAACAAAATAAAATGGTAACATTCCAATAAACTTATGTCTTCATATCAAAAAAATATATACTTTTAATTTTTATTTTTTTATTATTTTTTTTTTTTTATTTCTACTGAGGTAGATGTTTGAAAAGATTATTTCTGCAACTGCAACCTCTCTTCTACGTATTTAGAATTGGGTTTCTGGTTCCTTCTAACGTCTAATTCCACACTATACTTGTAATATCTCTGAACTCTGAAATATTATTCACTCATTAAATATTGATCCCTTCATGTCTAGAGTTAGCCGTTATCTTTTCTGCATAACCTCAAAAACTTTACCAGCTGAAAATTGATAAAGATGAAGATATTAGTCCATATTATAGAATACCCAACTAATTGTACCTTGTAAATGTCTTTAGAAAATCACTGAAGTTTCACATTAAGATTAAAATTCTAATTAAATTATTCCTTGCTGCAAAAAATCTAAAATAGAGGTGTGGGGTGATGTAAATGTAAAAAAGAAAAAAAAAATTTATATCACTTGATTTTTATCATAAGTGTGGAGATATGATTTTTTTTTTTTTTTTTTTTTTTTTTTTTTTTTTTGGGGAAAAAAAAAAAAAAAATTCAGAGCCCAATCTACTTAAAACCTCAATTTATTCTGGAATCTCTTCAAGGTCAGACTGAGATTTTTATTTATGTTTATTTTTATTTTTTTTATTTTCAATCCGCCTCTCCTGGAGGTATTCTGTTTGTTTTTTTTTTCTTTCCCCCTAATGAAGTAGGTTAGGCCAAGAACTTTTCAGCAACCCTCATTCATACATTGAACAAATTTTAACTGTTCATTTATCCTTACTCAGTTTTGACAAAGTTATGTACACTTTTCAGGAAACTTTATTGTAAGGTTGAATTTATTTCTAAGGCTTGATTGAATTTATTTTTCAATCTTATATTTAAGTCTCTTAGTGATTAGATGTAATCTCTGCAAAACACTGAGTAGGAATAAAAGAAATTAACAGTTTTACTTTAATATATATTTATATATATATATATATATATATATATATATATATATATCTGATAAACTTAATAACATCATTGTTAAAAGATGAAAGAAAATCACCATATTTTTTTTAATCCTAAGCTTTCAGCTTACATAAGCCATCATTACAATATATTAAACAATACACGGACATAACAATAATGATAGTCTGTTTTTGTTTGCATGGAAGATTTCCAAGCAATGACAAACTCGTGCATGCAAGCCACTGGGACCGAAAATCACACCACGGCTCATGACATCACACATGACCATGTGAGAGTGAAAATGAGAAGTGTTAAGTATGGGAAGCCATTGGCATAAACCAATGGTTTCTGTTATCAATTATAGGCATTTAAGTATATCTGGAAATTTCATAGTTTATTTTGCTCAGGTTAGGTCTCAATTGTTTTATGTTTATAGCTTAAAGAATTTAAAAATTTTTTTTATTTTCATGTTTAAGTATAGTTGTTTTCAACAAGGATTTTCCGGAATTGTGTATGCGGCCAGGCATGTTGTTTTAAATGCCTAAAAATGTTGGTTGGAAATCTTCCATGCAAAGAAAAACAGACTATCATTATTATGTCCGTGTATTGTTTAATATATTGTAATTGTCATCTTTCATGATGGGTTATGTAAGCCGAAAGCTTAGAGAGGATTAAGATATGTATCAATATTGTGATTTTCTTTCGTCTTTGAATGATAATGTTATTAAGCTTATCAGATGATATGAAAGGAATTTACATAAAATAGACAAACTTGTCTATATTATTTAATGAAACATGCATCAATGAAAAATACTACCTAAATACACACTTTTATTATATATATATATATATATATATATATATATATATATAAAAGTTGGATTGATGTGAGCTTGTGACCCTGGGTTTTGTTTGTCTGACAATTGCAAATAGTGTGAAACCCAAGATCACAAACTCATATCAATCCAACTAAATATGTTAGCTCTATCACTGATATTGAGCATTTTCCAATAAGTACCATGCATATATAAGTAATATATATTTTTTAAAAAATTGCATAATCTCCATTCCTTCAACATTTTTTTTTTTTATATAATTCTGATTTTGTATCTCCCAGTTTTCAGCAGGCCACAATCAAACCAGGTGAGCAAAAAAGGGGGGGAAAAAAACAAAAGAACTGTCCATTCCAGAACACACCCACACTCTTCTCACCTGTTTCTCTTAAAATGCTGTATTATTGAAAAATGGACGGTAAACTTTTATGAAGAAACCAAAACTGTACATAATCCATGTAACAAAGTCAGGGAATAAAGACAACTTTTGAGAAAAAATTTTTTTTCTTTTTTTATTTTATTTAATGCATGTGTGGGTATATTGGTTAGTGAACTTGTCCCGAAAATCATGGTGTTTTGTTTTTTGTTTTTTTTTTTTTTTTTTTTTTTTTTTTTCCTCTCTCTCTCTCTCTCTCTGTGCTTACCTCACCAAATGAAATGTAACAATGTTACGATGACCAGCATGGTTGGTGAATCTATATCCATGTCTCTGTCAAATATACCTACATTATAGCTTTCAGTACTATCAATGCAAGTATGATCTTGATAACATCAGAAATTAAGACTTAGGTTCACTATGTTCAAATTATAAATGCTGTCACTATATATATTTTGTTCATTGTTTGCCTAAGTAGAAACTAAAGGAAACAATGCTGCAGCCAGAAAATGAAGCACCTTATTCTCTCCCCCCCCCATATATATATATATATATATATATATATATATATATATAAAAAATCTGGAATCACTTGGCATTGCCTGCAGGTAGGCAAGTGACGTTGGGACATCTTTGCAGTGACTTCTGTTTTCTCACAAGCTAAATCTTCCATTCAGCCAACAAGGACTCCATCTCAACTTACATGTCTGTGTGTGTTTGTCTCTTTTTTCCAGCCCCCTCTCCCTCACTCCTCTTCTGGGTGTCTGTGACTCTATGGCTTCTTTATATCACAAAGGACAGGTCTGAACCCTGGTCTCTGATTGGAAGTTTTCTACCTTCTGGTTGAGTGTTAGCTCATCCAGAAAAATTTAATCACTTTATAGATTATATCAACAAAAAAATGGTCTCTCTTCATATTTTTTTATTTTGTTTTATATGAGAGGAACATAGTAACATCAATTTTCAATTTTTGGAGGTAGGTGAACACATGCCCACTTATTGGCTTAGCCTCTTTAAGGAATCTGGATATGGAAAGCATGTCGATGCCTCAAAATTCTTGCAACTGATTTTGTCATTTTGGTCTTATATCCAAAACTTAGTCAAATGCAATTAGAATTCTATGCCCACAAGGTATTCTGACAAATTGCTCATCCTGTCTCAGCTTCAGCATTCTCTAATAAAAAGGGAACATGGAAGTAATGTTTGAACAAGTATGCAAGACCTGAGGAGAGTATCTTGAGGGGGATGCTGTTACCCTAGGTAGGCTTTCTTTTTTTTGTCTTTTTAATAATAGGAAATGGCTGGATACTTTCTAAACAGGCTTCATATCATTTTATTTTTATTTTTTTTTTAATAGTGAGGTGAAGGTATATGAAAATTTGCGAATGGCATAGAAAAATAAAAAGTTGAATAAGACAAGGATGTGTTTTCTCACTGGACTTTGCCTCACTGTAAAGGTTATCTTGAGAGAATTAGAAGTCTTACCTGTATTCATTATTGGCAGTTGCAATTTTAACATCATAAAATATGTAGATGACACTTGATACAAACACAGAAAGGTCACTGCAGGAACTCCTAGAGAAGGTAGTAAAGGAAAGGGAGAAGAAAGGAGTAAGCATCAATTGTAAGAAGATAGAACGTATGGTTGTCAACAGTAGAAACAGCCCAAGATATGAACTATGAATCAGAGATACCAAAATCAAGCAAGTACGTAAATTTAAGTATCTAGGAAGTGTTTTAACATATGTAACACCAAAAGCTGAAGGACATTGGAATAGCAAAAGATACCTTTCAAAAGTTAAGTATTGATTTTCTAAGAGAGACTTAGATGTGGCACATGGCCGAAAGTATGGGGCACCCAGTGAAGATCGAATTCACTATTCAGTTTTAGCAAGACCAGCTTGCTAACCATTACACTGTGCCCAACATAGATGTGGCACAAGGCCGAAAGTTTGGAGCACCCAATGAGGATCAAACACGCTACTCAGTCATAATTGTTCTAGCGAGACAACCATTACGCCACGCTGAGGTGCCCCAGCAATTTTCTAAGCAATGCT